ATAGAACTCTGAGCTATGCTAACTACATTCCCCATTCACTGCACCTTAACTACAAATACACCTAGTGAAAATGATGAGTTCTGCAAACTGTTTTGTTCGGCAAGAAATCCTTTAACACCTTCCTTTTTCAGGTCTAAAATTTCACTTTATTTTTCAAAGAGATTAATTAATTCATACTTCTTTTCTGACTGGAAATCAGTATTTTAACCACTAAACTGCAAGCTAGAGGTGACAGGAGTCAGATCTGTCGAGATGATAAATAGCAGAAAGTTTCTCTGAAAGATGCTAAATGTCTTCTGTATAAGTCAGGGATGAGAGTTCGTATATTTTTGTATGCAGGTGACGATGATAACCACTGATGAAAAAAAGCCTCTCGCTATCTTTTTCGCGTTACGAGAGTTGTTAGAAATTTCTCGCAAAATACCAGTTCCTGAAAAAGGCATTGTGCCATTATTATTATTATTATTATTATTATTATTATTATTATTATTGTTATTATTATTATTATTATTATTATTATTATTATTTTTATTTTTTTATTTTTTTAGTGGGTTGAGTCGAGAATCGGAAAAAGTTAGAAGAAGAGAACAAATAAACCGGTTATTCCGCTGATGGGCACCTCGACCATTTGACACACTGTCTGGTCTGTGTCTGTTTCAATAATAAGATTTTCAATTCAATTCTAATCAAATCTTTATATTTAAATTACAGTCTGTAACCGATTTTCCTTTTCCCGTAATTCAAAACACAGACCCTTCACTCACCATTCCACACTATAAAAACATTTGAAAAAATCATCCAAACATTCTCTTGTGCCATTAGGACTGTAACTAAATTGAGGGACTTAAGATCGAATAAAATCTCGGCGATGTTTTAAATGAAAACGCCTATACAAAATGAAAAGATAAAAGCATTTGACCGAATTGCCCCACTGACAACACCCTTTGCATCCTTCAGTCTTTGTACCTTTAGTAACATATCGTCGGTCAATCACCGACGTATTCTTGTGAACAAAACGGGTTTGTCTTTTTGTTTCGTTTCCGTAATTTCGCTTGGTTTTTTTTGGACGTAATTTTATTTCATCTGAAATCTAATTCAAGAAACTCATTATCTACAAGAAAACATTTTCTTGTTGTTTTTTTTTTCTCCTCAAGGTTTCATTTCCAGCCAGCTGGTGGGTGAAGCCAATGTTAGTCATTTCATTGAACGATTAAAAATATTTCCTAGAAATCAAATTTGTCTTCGAGACGATGGATGACACGGTTTTTACAAGAACGTCCTACTCGGACCGGACCAGTTTGGTCTGACATCATCATTGTACTCAGTTGTGCAATTAAGTAAGACATGCTCGGTTATTTCAGTTCACAGTATGCTAATGATTAACTTCTGGTCTTCAATTTGCTTCTTGGTCAAGTTGAGAACGGCGCCCGCGGTAAAAGAGATCAAAAGAAGAAAATTGAAGAGAAATCTTCAAAACGTTTATGATCGCACGTATTTTTGTTGGAAAAACAACGTTCTAAGACTTGAGATAGACGTATTATCCTTTTTGTTTGATCAGTGTGGCAAACACCAATATCTGCGAGCCCAAGGGGTAACGCTCTTTATAAGCGATAATTGAAATTCGTGTAATGGTGATCAAAGCTTTAATTTTATTGGGAAAATTCCTAGAGCATTTTCTCAAAAAGCTCACGCACGCTTCCCACTCTTGAAAAGGTTCTATTACGGTTTTTAACGAGCTTTTAACGCACAATGCAAGTGAGTTCCCGTGATTGGTTTGTCTTTAAGGTATTCACATTCAATAAAATCCAGGTAGTTTAAAAGCCATTAGCATTTGTGAGTTCTGGAAACACAACTACAACCCTGCCGGGTTCATGAGCAAACATCATTTCCGTGCTTTCAAACAAACCTTCGTAGAACTATCCGCCTCACGTGAAAGGGATCAAATCAACCATTCATCTTTGAAAAAAAAATCTATTGTTGTAAATGACCGGCCAGAGTATTATTGTACGTATTCTGGTAAGTTTGCTTGTTGATATTAGCTTGGCTTGTTTGTGTAAAAGTTGATCAGCGTATTTCAAATTTTTACTCATATCAAGACATATCGTAAAGTGGGGAAGAAATTTTGGAGGAAAACATGGAGCGTGAAATGCAGTTGTTATCAAAAGTGTTAAGTGTCGACCAAAACTGACCGTTTTCCTCTTGGTAAAAGATGACTCTTACAACATGTATGCTAATACGTTTGTTTGGTTTGACTTCGGCTATATAAGCCTCGTCTGACTTGTATATGGTTAGCACCGAATTCACCGTGTAATGAAAGGAATTAGTCAGTTTGCATTCAGGCTTTCTGGTCCTTTTGAAAACAATTTTAATGTTAAAACTGACTGTTCAGACGCGGAGGCATTAGTTTTATGCTGTTATATTTTATGAAGTAATTATACCTTGTTATTTGCACAATTTGGAGATAAAGCCTAATTTATACAAGGATGAATCAGTTTTTGTAGACGGGTTTTCCTTGACAAATTTTCCTCAACAGGGTAGAAAAGTTATGACTAAAGTGCTTCCTGGACGGTTTTCATTGTTCGAAGCCCTTTAAAGTGCAGGTTTTTGGACAAGATAACTTATCTAGGGCTAATTTGGGAAAATGACTTGATAAGTGTACTTGCCAAGGAAACGCCACCAGTTCATGAGAACGCTGCCGATATCAGCTTTAATATATATCGTATTCGTTTTTACTCGCCTTTATGATAATGAGTGAAACTGTTAGCCCGCCATAAAGTTTTCAATGAAAAATAAGCTTTACTTGTTAGCTGGCTTTCTTGTGGGGTATCCTTTGTGAATGATGCCGTGGTTTTAACCGGGTCGGGGAGGGGAGCGGACTGGTGCTCCTCACACCTCTGGGGTGAGTTAAGCTTTTCCAGTCGCATTTTTCAATTCTTTTTAATCATTTATTCATTCCGATTTTTACTGAGAAATTGTGCATCGTCCTATATTCCAGAATCAACTTTTCTGCGCGGTTTATTTATAAACAGCAAACTATATGTCGCACAAATAGATTAAAGATACGGCTATATTCCTGCCAAATACAGTAGAACTCTGTTAACAAGACCACTGTTGGGTCATGAAAATTTGGTCATATCTATTGGGAATATGTAAAGACAGAAGTTAGTTTAATTAATACTAAGAGTTCATCTATCAGATATTACACACATCAGCTGAATTCTCAGGTACACACTTACGATTTTCCAGCTGCAATAACAAAGCATTTTCGGGTAAATCGCTTCACCGAGGATCTTACTGGTCGTATTACCGAGGTAAACTTGTGGAAACGATAATGAATGTCCAAGAAAACCCGCCGGTTTCTGTCTCAAAAGCCACCGTAAATATTGCAGTTAGAAAGCTTCGTTAACAACGCGACCATGGGTATCCATTAAAAGTGGACATTTGTTGTTTAGCTTATTTTAATGAGCAAAAACTGACATAGTGGTTCGGTTCAGTAATTTTAGACAAATCAAGGACATCACCAAGTCCTCGAAGTTCTGGGAGTTGGATATCAAAAAAGACATACCAGCTCCTAACTTGCATAAAAAATTCCGAAATTTTCAGAGCAAAAGTATCCACAAAGATATGTTACGTTAATCTGATGATTTGCCAGATAGAATTGTTATTGATTTGTAGTGTTAGTTTTGTGTACCATGCGACAGGTGTTTCAGTCATGGACGTTTTCTATTCTCTTATTGCATCTGCATACAGCCTTGTGATTGAATTCCCTTCACTATATTCTTGTTTTCCGTAACGTATTACCTAGTTTGTTGAAACAACGAAAATTGGCAATATTCATGTTGACAGACACGCAACTGTAACTTTTTCTCTTTAATTAAGAGCGCTTTGTTTCTATAACTACATGCGGCGTTGAGATGTTGATATATTTTCCCACGTGATCAGTTAACAGGTTTACGTTGGCGCCACAGCAAAGCCACAGGCTCGTCATGGCTTTGTCCTGCTTAGTAAGAGAAGTATGAAAGATTTATCTAATCATGAATCTTCGATTTTTACTCTTTTACAAAAATAAAGTCTCGGTTTAAAAAATTAATTACGCCGTAAAGTCATCATAAGCTGCAATGAACCAATCCCAATCAATGTTCAGGTGTTAAAAGACAAATTAACTATCTCAATGACAGCAGCTGAAGATGTTAATAATTGGTTGTTTTGAAATAGTGGGAGTCGTTTTATACTATAAAACAGGCATTTCGCCTTATTTCTTATGCGTTTACTCGGAGTATGAGAAAAAAAGTGCACACAGTTTAAGTCGATTTCATGGAAAAGTTAAGAATGACACTTAAAGGGAATTTCCCGTCAATGATTGTTGGCTTCAAAGCCGGTTTTTAAAAGGTCTTATTAACTGGTAAGTCTTTTGTTATCCGATAAACTTCCAAAGCAAGTCATTGTTTTGTAATTTCGTAACGTTGCTTTAGTTAAGTCTAACCGACATAAGAGAACTGCACTGCAAGATTTGGAGAAAGAAACTTAATAGTATACACTCGCTCCTGGCGCTGTAAACTTATACTTTTATACCCCGAGAGAGCCCAGTATCTATAAGCCTTATGTTTTCTTTTTGGGCTTCCTCACCACATTGCTTCTGTGTATTTTCTGTATTATTGTCTTTTGTATTTTCTCTGGTGAAATAAACTAAAGCAGCTTTCTAAGTAACGCTTAAAGCCGGTATTTTACATCGTCATTAATATACTGCAAAAGTTTAATAAGTTGTTTCCGCGGCGTAAAAAAAAAGTCTTTTTCTGCCCTTTACGAAACGTAACTTTTAAAATGTCCATCGCTTGTGGTTTGCATTTACCTCGCTTATCATTAATAAAATTATTTGTGCAGTTCAGTCTTAAATACAGTCAGTTCATTGATTCAATAAGTTTTCATTGCAGCTTGCAAGAGGTGAGAAAATTTTTATATTTTTAAACAGGTGAGGGATAGCCTAGTGGCGACACTGGAAAATGAACTCATCAACACTCATCAGCAACCAATCAGATACAAGCATTCATCCAGATACTGAAAACATTTTGGCGGCTTTATTGGGAGGCCTGCTGGTCATCTTCACTTTAATTGGAAACTCGCTGGTCTGCATCAGTTTCTACTTGTTTAAGGAACTCCGGACCGTATGCCATTATTTTGTCATCAGTCTGAGCGCGGCCGATATTCTGGTTGCCATAGTAGCCATGCCCTTCTGGTGTGCTTTACAGGTGACGTCTAATCGATGGTTGTTTAGTAAAGAGCTCAGGACTTTCTGGAACTGCATGGATATCCTATGCGGGACGGCGTCGATCATGAACCTTACGGCTGTCTCAGTTGACAGGCATGCAGCCATCACTGATCCCTTCTCCTATCCCAATGTTATGACTTCTGTCCGAGCCATTTTGATGATTCTGTTTGTTTGGTTATACGCTACCGTAGTGTCTGGGCTGAGATTAGCAAGCTGGCCGACGAGATCAAGCTACATGCATTTTGTTTCTTGTGCCAGCTTTTTTATACCGCTGTTCGTAATGATTGTCATGTATACAAGAATCTATCTTGTTGCCAGGCAACAAGTTCATCGTCTGCGCAAAGGGCACAGCTATGAGCGTGACGTCAAGGCGGCCAAGACTATCGCCATTTTGATTGGTTTGTTCGTGCTTTGCTGGGGACCATTTTTCGCCATCATTCTTTGCTATGCGTATGATGAGTCGTTTGCAGTTCCTCGTTCGTTATTAAACATCATTAAATGGATGGAGTACACAAGCTCTTGCTTAAACCCCATCATCTACTCTTGCCTTAATCGCAGCTACAGAAAGGCCTTTCGTAAATTATGTCAACTTTGTCGCAAGCGCCGAGACAGAACTGGGTCCTCCGCAAGCACGAGCTCTCGATACAAACTGGGTTCATCTTTTACAGGAAGCACAATGGATTACCACAGTGATCTTGACCGTAAACGCGGGAGAAGCAACTCTCTAATTAGAGATTGCGTTCGAGTTAATGATTCGCAAATATGAACGTTCGAACTCAGACTAGTTAAGTTTCGCAAAGACTTCTGGGACTGTTACTAGGGACAGGGAAAAAATAGCACACGTTCAATATATTAAAATTCTAACATGACTCCGAGGCTTTCTGGTCATTTGTCTACATTTGGTTTAGTTTTCTTTGTGCTCAAGTCTCTTTTGGGAATTGCGAGGCAATGGAGTGTTAAAAATTTTGCAATTTTGAGCCTCAAGCCTCGGAGTCATGTTAGAATTTTAATATATCGAACGTGGGCCATTGGCTGTCATAAAATAACTAAAATAGTACGCGCGCTCTGATTGGCCGAGAGGAGTGTTTGCATGAGAGTTTGTACGTCAAGATGTTTTGCTTTTCGCGCGCTAATCCCGCAAGCACGAATTTGAAAAAGTTTACTTTTTTGCTCATTCCTTCGTCGGCTGAAACTTGGAAAATCGTTACAAACAAAAAGTGTGTCAATTTTTTTTCGCTTAAGCTGACATTTTAGGGGAGAAAAGTCCGTACTTTGGGAAGTATCTTTTTGCAAAACAAGAACTGATTACGCGTGCAACTGGCTTCGTGGACAAGACTTTGCGACTGGTAAGAAATTATCTTTTAATCAGTGCCAAACAAAGGGTTTTGTGTTTTGTTTCGGGAAAGTTATTTTATAAAAGCAATAGAAAACTTTCTTCCTGTGTTTGCATAGCCTGATATAAACACGAGAGGGGTTGGGAGAATTCTCGACAGTTATGCAAACCCTCGACTTCGTCTCGGGTTTGCATACCTGTCTTGAATTCTCCCAACCCCTCTCGTGTTTATATAAGGCTACGCAAACACGGAAAACGTTTTCCATTGCTTAACTAGCTGACCGTCGCGTCCCCAGTAACCATCCCAGAAACAATTGCGAGACACATTTCGACTCCAGTTTCCTTCTCGCGAATTTCTCCAAATGCCTTCAGTGATCAAAAACAGGAAACATTAAATCGGATTTTATTACATACAATGGTGAAAAAGATAGTCTATTAGTTACCGAATTAACAATTATTGAATGAGGCTGAGCATGATATGAAGAATTATGCAGACCTTGGACGCTGTTATCAATCTCAGCCCCTCCGAGATGTACATAATTCTTCATATCATACGAAAGCCGAATTCAGTAATTGTTGCTTTTTTTTTCAGTAATTATTCATGATCACAAGCAGGATGTTAGCTTGAAACCACCTTAATACTACAAAGGATTTCGGTCTCTTAACTCTTACTTTCTCACTTGCTTAAGGTGGCTCCGTCATTAATACAGGCGGGTTAAGCCATGACGAACTTTTCACCACAACTTGAATTTTGTTTTCAACGCGATGGCTGTCAAGCTTTACAAAGGACAATAGATTTCATTCGGCAAAACTATGAAATATTCTGATTTCACTGCTGGTAAAAACTTTTTGTGAAATTAGCGCTTAAAAGGACCCTACCGTCGAATGGAAATCGCGTCTAGTAAAATATTTTGCTAATATTATTGGCTGAAATTTCTGGCATTGACTGGCTTTTATTGATATAATAAATATGCCAGATAAATTTCAGAGAAATCGTTGGAGCAGAAGTCCGTAACGAGAAAGTCGTTCAAAATTCAGTTGTGAAATTGTTTTGGAATTTCAAAAACAAATTGCTCTGAGGTTAAACGAGCTAACCACCAGTTCGAATTTTCGGGACAGATGATTCCAGTGTTTCCTAATTCTGAAAACAAAGGCCGATTGCCAATCATGTTATTCTTTAAAAAGTACTCTTTAGTTTTAGAAGCACTATAAATTGCTCCAAACCTTACTTTGACGCAGAATGACTCGTTGCTCAACATTTTTGAAATATCCCTTAGCAGTATTGGCTGAAACTCCTGCTAAATACTGACATTTTTATGTATTGCAATGCATCTTCAACGGCTCTTACTGCTGTACGTTGCTTCCAATTCCAGAAAAAAGGTATTGGAACAGTACGCTACCTTGTATCAAAGATCAGATAGAATTTCAAGCACCTTTGTTTATGACTACGAACTGAAAAGAGCACGGGCGGCAGTTCTAAGAGGAATTCGCACTTCGCCCAGTGGGGAGGAACGAGAATGATACCCATGCTTTCCCCCTCGTCTTCCAAACAAAAGGGAAGAAGGACCGCCTGATCGCAGGCTACCCAAGGCCCGGTTCAAACGTTGCATTTCACACTGATGTGCCAAATGTTATGCAGATGAGCAAGAACAGATAGATTTTCCCTTACCTATTAGCATTAAATTGGTCGTCAGGATCGAGGGATGATTGTACATGTATAACCAAACACCAGTATTACTATTCATCTAGTAGTATTCAAACGTATCGCATTTTGAATATTACAACCATCAAAGAATGGAGTCTCAAAGTTGTTCATTGTTACTTCGCATAATCATTGAAACAGAGCGGCTTCACCCGAAGATATGCGTAAAAGAAAAAAACAACAATTACAACGAGCACAACAATAAAAATATTAACTGAATACCCTCCAAAAATGCACTGAATGTTATCTCCTATATGCCCAGATATTTATTTCTGAGCATTTTTCTTGAATCCTCTGTAATTTCTTTTTATTGTTTACCGGTTTCCTAAATAAAGGACAAGCCCTTACTGAAGTTTTACACAACAAACTTGACGAAATTTCAATTCAAAGAAAACTTTCTCAGTTACCTTAGTAGCTAACTTAGAAGAATGCAACTGAACAACCCCTGTACTTTATGGGTGCTTTATGGGTCCTTGCAATCCAGTATTCTTCTGTTTTGAATTTTGTTGGTCAAGAAGGGGACTTGAGGACGTAATTTACACACACTGATAGGCACGGCAAGTAGGCCTTGGACGAAAGTATATTCGGAAAATATAATTGATTGCCAATATCTCAGGATGAAAATAGAAATCTTGAGATCCTCTTGTGCCTAGCCTGCCAGATGATAGACATTCGTAGGTGAAGGAGTAAGAACGAAGGGGAACACTACCCGAAAGCCATTCCATCACTCCCGCCGTAAATCACATAACGCCCAATCAAAACCTTTAGTTCCTTCGCGGGAAACTTACAGCACGCAAACCACGTCTCTTATTCCTTGCACCCTCTTGGTCCTCTTGACAGAAATGTGCAAAGCAAAACCGCATTAAATCGAGTTTGATTAATGGTCGTGCGTCGTGGGTCGTGGGTCCAAGTCGTGGGTAATGATAAATGACATAAATGGTTAGTAGTTCAGTATAATAACTAATAAATAATTATTGTTTTTTGTCATTTATCAAAATAACAGAACATAATATATAAAAAAACATCTATTACCCTTCTTGGGGTTTAGTTAAGCTTCATTGTATCAGCTCGGTTCTGGTGACACTACCATTTCAGTGACTTTGCTGATTCAGTAACAGATCAACAGGCCATTTCCGAGTTGCCCCATGCCTCTGATTCAAAAGAAAGCTAAGTGCAAAGCCGATGATATGAAAATGATTTTCTATTCTCATGCAAATAAAACTCATTTTCAAAAGAAAGGTTTTGTACTTAGCCTCGTTTTGAAAGTGAGAACTCGGAAATGGGCTATTTGTTCGTCTTAACAGTCTTTGAGGTATGTGAACGGGGTAAATTATAATTATTGATTATCATTAGTTTTCTATTAACTATTAACCATTAGTCATAAATCATTACCAGATACTCATAAGGGGTTGAGACGTGTAACTACCATAAGTTTGCTCTATCCAATGCTCATAAATTTTCATTTTCGCAAGTACATACAGTGAGATCCTGTGAATACGGACACTGAAGGAGCAAAAGAAAGTATTCGTATTAACGGGGTGTCCATATTAAGCAGGTCATGTTATGAAATTAAAAAAGACCCATTTTATGAAACATTTCTAACCTTCACAAAACCATCATTTCTCGGACTAAATCCACGGAAAGCGACTCAAAAATCGTTCATTTATATATTACTTAATCAAAACCGTTCTCTTCATGATTCATGTAATGCCAAAATAGTCTGAAATGGACATCTACAATTCACCCTATTCGGTGTACTGTAGGCTGGGAACTACTGTCAGCTGAAGGTCTTTTTTACATTCGAAGAGGAAGGTTCTATCAAGGCACACAGTTGATAGTGAAGTGTCCGCATTGGCGAAGATGACTTTCTTTGAGAATCTGTTGATTGGGCAAGAAACAAGTGTCCGTTGTCCGTATTAAAGGGTGTCCATATTAAGCGGGTTGAATTTAAGGAAAATGTAAGGGCTTCCCCCAAGAACAAAGAAAAGTGTCCGTAATAACGAGGTGTCCGTAAAGCCGCGGGGTTCGAGTCTACCATATTTACAACGAGAAGAAAAGGTAACCGACCAATCAAATTTCGTAAAGACGTGACGTAATTTTACTCCACGTTCTCGAGAGGAAACCTGAGGGAGCTCAAGCAATAACGATGGCGACAGCTATAAACACGTCACTTAAAAAGTGTATTCGCGTTGCTTCAAACGTTATCGTTCTTATTTCATCTCGTTCAGTTCCTCTAAAGACTGTCTAGAAGTTCAGGAGAAGAAAAAGAAGGTCGCTGTATGGTATTTTCGCCCTCCACACACATACAAAAAATGAATATTCACGAGCATTGAACGCGAGTTACACGTTTCAGCCCTTAACGAGTCTCCGTCATTCCCCGAGCTAGTTTCACAAGATTTTTACCCACGACCGACGAGTATTAGAGAAACAGAGTGTCAGTTCTGTAAAATTAACTTGGAACCAAACGACGGGTACGAAGTACTACTCACTGCCAGCTATTTGTTTTTTTTTTTTCACGAGATTAAAGTGGCTGTCTACATATTGTGATAGCAGGTTGCCTCCTGTATGTCTATCATATGTTTGTCACGTGTTTGCACTCGTGAGCGGTAATCCGCTGGCAAGGCAAGCCCACAGCTTACTCTGGTTTTGAAGTCTCTTGTTGATCTCAGCTAGAGCTGATGTGAATGAATTGCCTGCTTGTTTTGATGTTTCCGCGGGGGAAACATTCTCAGCCACCGCTGTCTCGTGGGTTTGCTTATATTCCCGTTGGTTTTGTACCGCTGTGGCCGTCTGTTCTCGTACGAGTAGCGATGGTCTTGTTCGTTTTCTTCTTTTTCTTCCACGAAGCAAGTTGGGTAATCTCGTTCTCTAAAGTTGTATTCGTAAAGATAACAACCTAATGAATATCACAAGGCCGGTAGAGCTGTCGGTAAATTTTACCTTTTTAATGTGGAAATAAACATGAAATAATAAACGTTTAATGACTGGTTGCGAGGAAAACATTTAATCTTGTCAACAAACTTAACGGTCTCCCCCACGACCAGTCATTGAGAGGTTTGTTATATAGCTGGAAATTTTAAGGCTGGAAATTCATTAAACCTCGCTGTAACGGCAGTCGTCGGTCAACAATATACACTTAATGCCAGATCCCGAGGGAAACAGTTAGTTTTGTTCTCCCAAGAGTCCTGATGTTTCCCGAGACGAAGTCGAGGGAAACATCAGGACTTGAGGGAAAACAAAACTAACTGGTTTCCCGAGGGACCTGACATTAAGTGTTTTGTTATATTTCTAGACTTTCACTTCAACAGCAACAAAAGAATAACCGGAGCTATCCAAAACAGTGGACTCGGTACTTATAACAAAAAAAATTTAATTGTCAAAACCACTGAATGAATGATTTACAAAGTACTTTCGTTATATTATCTGCATCGTTTTCCTCCACTAGCTGCTGTTTTTCTTCTGGAAACTTCTGGGATAACTTTAAAAATCGTTGCTTTTTAGCTTGAGGCTTCGTGTTTTTGTTGTTGTTTATTTTCGAAAAAGAAAACTGGCAGGACCTGGCGGTGTTTTTCCCGCCTTCTGTGACACCACTTTCCACCATGCTTTGATCACGTGCTGTAATGTAGCCCGAGCGGGGTACATTGCTTAATGTATCACGATCGGGATACATTTGATTTTAGTCAAGGTCACGTGACCAAGAATCAACCAATGACAGTCCCTGTTTAGTTGAGAGAAAGTCTAGGAATATAACAATGGCGGGTAACAATGCACTGTTTTCCCCCTGACGTCATAGATTTTGCAATGTTGCCCACTCAGAGATTTTGGCGGGAATCAGTTTCATAATTAAATGTCATGTGACCTCGAAGTAACCAAGGAGAGCGCGCGCTGTTGGGAAAAATTTCCAGCTATATGACAAGCGTCATTGCTTCTGTCGCCGCATTTTACAAGTCATTTCGACCATTTTTGTTAATCCTTAAAAGGAAGGGGAAGACTTTTAATCCTATGGTTTTTACAGTCTCTTTGGTGTTTTCTCATTCTTCAAAATCAATTTTTTGGATAAGGTTTCTGGAAATTTGCAATATATCGACTCAAAATCGTTGTAAAGCTTTTCAGCCGGTTAAGAGGTAGGAAAACTTAATTCTTCCAAACCATGTTCAAAATACTAGGCAACAGTCCAGTCATCGTTAAATTGAAACAATTCCCACAAGTAAACCAAACTCTGGGAAGCCAGTCTCAAAGTCGAGGAAATGACGAAGGATAGCCGAGTAGAAATAAGTCTATAGAGTGGAGGACACTGTCGGGACATCATTTGGTAGCCACTGTTTAGAGGTACCCTCCCAACAGAAATAAAATAAAATCAATTAAACAAAAATAAAACCAATTTAATCAGCCATGCCTATCTAAGCATAAGAAACCTGTTTGGGTAACAGCGTCGCTCACTAAATAAACTTTACGATAGTCCCACCTGGAACCGAGGCTTTACGATTCTTCCTTTAATCTCGGATGTACAAACAAATTCATACCCCAATGTGTAGGCTTTGATAGATTGCTAGCATACTTTTTGGCATAATTCCCAAGATTGCACCCGCGTGCTAGTTGTTAGTTGTTTGAGTTTTTGTACTTGTAAGACAATGTATTTAATGCACTCTTAAATTTTCAAGATGTAAATACGGTAAATGTATTTGCCATTTACTTGTTGTCGCATAGTTATTGAGGTGTGTTGAACAAACTAAATAAATAGTAGAAGCATAATTTCTGCAGTTTTTGCTAAAAAGAGCATAATTTACAAAAACTAGCATAATTATTGGCAAAATGCTTAAAAGTTGCATTTTGGGTAAAAATGGCTTCACCTTATTATGACGTCAAATCTGGTAACTATAACAACTGACTGTAGCCAAAGTTTGCTTAGAGGTGTCTTAGAAATAAATGACTCATCTGCTGAAGAAAAGAGGTTGAGGCTAAAAACCTTAAAAAAACCTTTGGTACCCCCACTCTCCATGTACATTCGAGGACTAAAAAATGATCGTGAGCTACCGACCTCTCTCTGCTGTCCTTGGGGTGCAGCTCTGCTGCCCTTTGTGCGTTTTTTCCGCGCTTGTTTCTTGCTTTCCTCAATCACTAAACGGGTGTACAACTCGGCTCTGTAATCTGAAAAGAAAAGCAAGGTGGAGCCATTTAAAAACATTGCTTGAACAACGCAGAATGGCAACCTGGTTCCCAGGTATTTTTTCGTCCCATGCCCCAGGAGAGGGAAGCGGAGGGCCTAGAATTCCTATAAAACTGAAATCTTGTGACCCGGTTGCATGGTTCGGTAATATTCCCCGACGATCGGCACTTCAGAATTTCTTGACCGCCCTGTATTTTGCTATCACTACTGAAGCAACGACATCTTTGACAGTTGGATCGTATTGGATGGTCTGTGACATTAATCGGAGAAATCGGAAGAGTTCAAGCCACCACGCCCCACATTTTAACGACAGCGTACTAGATGATGATCAACTATCATCTCTGTTAAATGAAACTACCGTTTGCTTGAGACACATTTCTCATAAAACTAAAATATCCTGAGCCATCTGAGTCAAAACGACACTAAAGAGGCAACCTCTCCTTAGCGACTTAAGGCGACCACCAATCGTGGTCGCTTACGGAAGATTCGAGGAAAAGCAAGTAAACACAGTTTCATGAATAAACTACTGGTTGTGCCAGCCTTTCGATCAAAATGGTTTAGTTCCTACCAAATTAGAGGACAGCAATATTCGCGCGTTTTGATTGGCGCTCTTAATCGGAAAATCCAGTTAAGCTATTTAAGTCGAATTCACTGTTACGGGACGTTTCACGACAGCTTCGGAAGGCGACATTTTACTGTGTTTCCTGGTGGGTAGAAAATTATTCTCCTACTAAATTTGCTACAAAATCCAAAAAATGCGCTCGACAAATCCCAAAACACTGTAAATTTAAAAGCTCCTACTTAGTGATGCCTTTTAATTACAAAAATAACCTTTTCTTTTTCATCCAAATGATTTGGTACATACTAAACGGATCGGTGCGCAGCGCTAGATAGAATAACTCGTAGAATAACTTGATACTTCACGTCTCGGTATAGTCCACCACTATTCACCTCCCCTTCGAGGCGCGCATACACTACATGTAGTTGTAGAAACGACAAAGAGGGATCGCGCAGCAAGAAGTACGTCCCACCTGACTGAGTTTGATTCTGCGTTGTGTTTTCCCCTGCATTCAAAGTAATCACAAACTAATATATAGTAGTCAAATAGTTGCATTTTTTCCGGCCTCACCTGAAAATCTTTTCCCAGCGATTGTTCGTGTCTCTGTTAAGACTCGACCGCATTGGCAAGAGTTCCATGTTTCTGGTATCTGTTAAAGCATAAAAGAGTTCAAGGGTACTTTCTCTCTTACTTTTGCTTGATTGCCATATAAAAATGTCGATCACGGCATGGAAGACGTGTTGCAGCAACCGGCAGCAATCACGATTGTTTTATCACGATATAACAATCACCATCGCAATACAGCAAATACGATCGCGATATATCGGGAATGATACAACAATCGCGATACAACAAACGCAATCGCAACACGTAAATTGTGATGAAACTACAATGCAACATTCGTGATCGCGATACAGCAATTGTAAGGCAGCAAACACGTTTGCCAAAGGTCAGAAAGGGAAAACCATTTTACAATAATCGCTAACGCAATAGGGACATCACAGAAGAAGTCGCGAGGCAACTATCGATATGTCATAATTGCAATCGAGACTGGGCGGTAAATCGGGACACAACACTGGGGACGTCGAAAAGTAGTTAACGCCAAGGGGAAATCGCAATACAATAATTGCGATCTTGACCGAGCCGGGTACATTGCGATAGAAAAAGTTTTGGACTCTTTGGAAATCGCTATACACAATCGCGATTTCGAAACGGGAATCGGGAAAAGATCTGATGCAACATTTGCAATCGCAATAGGGAACTGCGATACAACAATCGCGATAGTCAGACACTATCGCGATTGTTGATTCACCATTTTCTAAAAAGAGGGTGAAAGGTCCCAAACAAAAAGCGAATTTTAGCATGAATGATGCAGATGAGGGTGCTTGCTACATGTATGACGAACGTCACGCTTTATTTCTTACTAATAGAATATCATACTGGTAGAAAAAAAATCGAATGACCACGAAATTCGAGCATCTATTCAACAACCGCTACCTTAGTAAAACTTTTTGACTAAAGAATGATAACCCGTTTTTCTATTTAATGAAGTTGGCGAGCAAACGAGAACGACGTGATGGTTAGAAATTGCCATTTTTTCGGACTTTTTCCGAGCTCTGCTGATTTTTTTTTTTTACGATGTGCGCAAACTGGAAAGAGTGAAATAGACATTCTGGATGTACATCATGACATGGAAACTATTTTTGTAATAAACGCAAAACTGTAACAAAAAGCCGGCGATCTGCTTATTGCACAGGAAATGGCAATGACCAAAAATAAAGATAGAGAAATGTAAATTTCTCCAAAAATAATAACGATGATAATAGAATTTGCTACTTCACGGCTGTCGCATACTGGCTCGGTTTTCTTCTGTCACAGGAACTTATCAACTTAATCAACTTCCGGGATCGTGACTACTTGAAGCAGTTTCAAACCAACTGGCACGACTTTCTGTCTTCACATATGCGTCCACTTTGAACGGAACCGTTGGTTTTGCTTATCTGGACTATCTTTCCGTTGTAAGGTGTACTACTTCCAGTTATGAGAAGTGCTTAGAAGAAATAAATTGCATGTGATGAATAAGGCCGACTAAAAATGGTCAGAAGCTAGCTGAAAAACGAAAAATGTACGTTTACCACTCGCAAAAAACGATTTAAGGCTTTTTTCTTCTTTTTATTGAAAGTCATAAAAAAGACATCTTGTGTTTCAGTGTAGTTTCTCCTTTCACGGAATATTCACGTAACTAAGAAGGAAGGAAGGAAGGAAGGTGAAAGACAAGAATGGACGAGTAGTTCGTTTGCTGAAAGCCTGAAAGCTTCTAAAATTTTGAGAAGAAAATCGCTTGCTTTTATCTGCAGACTGTTGGACCACTCTAACGTACATTGAAACCATCTCCAATAAAAAAGAGATTTTAGATTACATGTTTAAAGTGAAAATGAGTCCTGCGTTATCGCATTCGGCAAAAATATTCATACTTCAACAAATTTATTCTGAAGTAGTTCCTTTGCCAATGGTTTGGTTATTTCATCTTCTCTCTGTAATTCAGACGGGAATGAGCAGACAATTTCAAATTCCTTCTTAGTTTTAAAATAAGGGGTGTTTTATAAGGAAGTGACGTTCGCTATAAAATGCCACTGAATTCGCACATGCCAAGCGTGTATATTGCAGTTCACGCTCTGTTAAACTGAAATTTTGTCTTCCTCCAAAATTATCCTTACACTATTTTTTAAATTTCCCTGAACTACAAGCGTTTTAATTTAAACAGCTTTTAGCCATATGGTGAAGAAATTTCTACTGTCGCGTAGGGAATGAACTCCCTCAGTACAGCTGAACCCTAGTTAGCATGAATGATAATTCAGTGCAAGCTTGTCATGCAGACGTCTGCTACAACCTAAATGTGTATTCTCGCTGGAGAACATACTCGCAAAGTTTGTTTATGTTGTTAGTTTCTATTCATTCTCTGTTCACTTCTCGAGGCAACCGAACCAGAATAAAACAGGACATTAGAGTACTGTGAGCGGAAAACCAGCTCTATCCACGTCTGTTGTACTCTTGACCTTTCAAATTATGAACCAGACTAAAATGATCGCTCTTTCGTTGCGACATGGTCGAGACTCACTCGGTGATCTCTTCTAACACGAGACTAACATCATTATAATTCATTTGTCTGAATCCTTGAAGAGAATCTTACCTGTCTGTTACAAGCGACACATTGTCTTATAGCGGCCATACTGTCAGTGTGTGTTTTCGTCTCGCGGTGAAATTAAACAATTCATCGAAGGATAGAAGGGTCGGGCTATCACGTCATAAAGCATGTGACCACGCAGCCCAAAATATTGCAATTAATTCAGGTTCGTCTTTCTTGGTGTATTTCGTTATTAAAAAAGCGTTATCACTAAGCTGTCAGTATTTAAGGAATCAAAAGGATGGGTGGTATGGGACCTAAATGTTTATTAAATCGTTCAAAAACTTAAGGAGTCTTTGTTTGGACAACTTTATATCTAATCGGCAGGTGGAAGCCACCAGAGGAATAAATTAACAAGATAACATGGAGCTTAGGAACACGAAAGCTGTCTCGCGATGAATGTTTTCAAAACTAGCCGTGAAAATTAAGTTAAAAATAGAAGTAAGAATAAAATTTCCCATGAAAATCTATTCCGAAATATACGTTTAGCTTGTCAAGAATTGTCTTATTCTATCCATGAGGGAATTCCGAAGAAACGTTGAACAGATTTCCTTCAAGGCTGTGGTGAGAAGGCTTTGCGTTTACAAGATATATGCTACTATAGAATACTGAGAGTTTCAAAAAAATGTCGTTAAATTTAGGCGAGATTTCATTCCGTCAAAACAGCTATCTTGAAGCTACGCTGTTCGCGATCGCCGCTATAGTGATGAGTGACCTTCACAATCATTTCAGCACACGGCGCACACGGAAGTAGAATTTATGCAGCGCACGAAACCAACAATTATGAACAATATATGTATGGATGCTAAACTGACATCCAGGAAACGAAAGAGCATGTTAGAAACATTTTTTGGCATTTAAACGGTATTTCACTTAGATTAAAACGGAACGAAAAGTTATCCAAATTAACTTAATTTGTTTGGCATCACTACTTGCGCGTGTAGCGGTCTAATTAAACTGCAATGTTTTTTCCTAGAGCTGTCGACTGCTTTTGAATAAAGAAAAAGAAAACCATGCATGATTGAAATTAGCTACTTTTATCTACGGTGAGTTCAGAGCCTTTAATACTTTTCACTACCCTAAGTGAAATGATAAACTGAACTTTTTTTTTTTTCAAGCTCGAAATCTCATTTCTGGACCTCAGATGGATAAAAAGAAATTGTGTAATAACTGAAACATAAAAAATAAATAAAAATTAAGCAAATAAATAACAAGGACAAAGAAAGAAAAAGGAACATGTGAAAATTCAGTGCAGCTGAACTACTCTGTCAACGAGCGCATAAGAAGTAAAGTAAAGAGGGTCGATACAAAGAAAATTTTGACGTGAACCTGTATAATAAAAAGCCCATCGAAAAAAGAAATGTCTCCTCTTACCTACTCCGATGAATCCTAGATTATACTTTTCGATGTCTTCAACTCAAAGAATTGCAAAATGGATTCCAGATGCTCATGTAAGCTTTTCACTTGTATGAGTTAATATTTTGAAAAGTATATTTCTCTTCAAGCACAGTTGTCAAATCTCCTTAACGCTGTACGAACACATTGCTCAGGCCGTGTACACCTTCACAAAATACGGACACCTGAATCATCAAAGGAAAAGGTTACAAACGTTTGGCTAACAACAATAATCTTGCGTTTAAAGTTGATACCATGGCCAGGCACTTGATACGAACTTACTGACAGTTTTATTTTAAGACACAAATGAATTATATTCCTTTCGCAAGTTTTGATCATTTTACCTTGCTGGTTGGACAAAATTTTCCAGTTCAGTAGCGGATCAACTGCAGTGCAAGATCCATAACTCTTGATGAGTGTAAATACATCTTCATGGTAATACTCTGACGCAATCGTAGTTTTTAGTGCACTTAGCTTATCCAGCTTGTTTACAGGCACTGCACTCAAATAATTAGAAAAAAATAATTCAGTCTAACATAACAAGCCTAGATTAGTACTGTTATTTTTGTAAGAACGAAGATGACGATGATGATAATGAATTAGGGGAAAAACAAACAAACAAACAAACAAACTGACAGACAGACAGGCAGACAAACAAATGATAAAGATTGTCAATGTAGATGTCATTTGGTTTAGTTAGTTTTCATAACGGTAACAATTAGTAGATCCAAAAAAGCACCAGTTAATTGATCGCTCAATCAATCAATTACTAATCAATTGATCAGTCAATCAATCGATTAACAAATCACTCATGTGCTAATCATTAAGTAAATTAAAAAGGAATATTTACTTGTGAAAAAACCCGCTCATCGAGAGTACACAAAGTACATTGGTAAGGTGGTAAGTTATCTTTCTACAATCCCCGACAAAAATAGTTGGGAGACGTTGTGCAAGTTAATAGTAGTTCATTCTTCAGAAAAGATGTTTTTTCTTTTTGCTCAATGTCCCCCGTCCCCACTATGCTACGCTGGGATTAACAAATCGACCACAATTTTCCATGGTCTACGCCCTTGATCTTATAGACTATAGAAATGAAGTCATAAAATGTTCAAAACTCAAGTGGAACCATAACCACGAGCCGCGGGTGAGTGGTTTCACTGCAAAGTTTTGAAAATTTTATGGCGTCATTTCTATGGTCTATAAGACTTTAGACCTTGGAAAATTGTAGTCGGTTTGTTTTATACAATAACCTTTAATTTATTTTTTTACGAAAAACCGAAAACAAAACAACGGGCACTGCGTGACATGTTACGTCATTTCTATGGTCTATACTCGAAGAAGTCAAAAAAAGATGTAAAAAGTAGCAGCCTTCCCAACACTCGAAGATGATAGTAGCACCGGTCACTGATTTCGTGTAGTTTTTACGGCTCAGGTCAGTCAACTTGAAGGGTGCCAAAAAAAAAATATACTTTTGTGCTGACTTTGGATTATTGCAATCGATAAGGCACAGTTTTAGATTTCAAAATTAGCTTTGCGAATTCAACGGCCAGTCATCGCTTCCCCTCCCCCCCTTCCCCGTCGTTAGGGAGCTTTAGCAACGACGACGGCGATGGCAACTAGGACGTCAAAAAAGCAGTAGGTTTATTACGCAAAACAACAACTTTGCACGTGCATCACGCTTTTTTGTATATTTCTTTACCGTCCTTGCACGACTACGACGTGAAAATGCCTAATTGCAAGTTTTATGCGATGGAGGACGTAGACAAGCGACGAGGAATCTCTTTTTCTCTCTCTAAACTTGAGTGCGGTCCTCAAGAAATCAACTCCAGGGAAATTCGCCTACACTTGCGATTTTCAGCAAATTGGAATGAACGCGACAAAGATTGAAAAAACGGGAATTCATTTTAAAACTGACGTTTTCGTTACCGTTGCCGTCGTCGATACTAAGACAACTCCACCGGCGTCGGCGGCGGGGAGCGATGAGACTCGTCTTGATTCGCAGACCAGGGTTTTATCAGCTAGCAGTAATTTTCTTAATTTTACGGTTTTCCGGTCGGTAATTACCTTTAAAAATGTCCTTTCTATGTGAAAAAAGGAACAAAAATAAAACAAAACAAAACAAAAAAAACATGATCTTGCTTTCAAGGATATCTGTCAGGAAACCTTGACTTCCTTTGCAAAGTTCAAAATTAACTTGAAATTAAAGGCGGAAAACCTCCAAATATTAGTTTGATAAAACAGAAAGACATCAAACAGCTAACAGTAAACTATAAAGGATTAAGGATGATTTATTGAGAAGATTATCATGCATGATTACGAGTGAAAACCTGAAAGATTTATTACTGGCTAAATTTTACAAGACGTAGAAACTCTTACCTGGCTACAAACCACCCAAAACACCTGCCGAAAGAACTTAGACTTGATCCGTATACGCCTTGGATGTTAAAGGGTTTTTTTTTAACACTAAAGAGCCAAAAAAAATCCATTGGTGGTTTCTCGACAGCCGCTCTCTTTTGGGCAATCAGAGCTATAATTACATGCACGCGCAAATCTGAAGATAAGATTTAATGCGGTGCATATCTGTCAAATTGTTATTTCTTAAGACGAGATTTTCACACCTGAATTTAGAGGCTTTTTTTTTTAGCGTGAACATAAATTATTAGGAACTGCTGGAAATGTAGCCATGTAACGACTTTGGATCTTTCTATTTTCAATTGAGAGAAATGCGCGTCGCGGGCCGACTTCAGAGTCGAGTTCGAAATACATTTAATTGGTAGCCGATAATTATGACGTCAGGTTAATTTACTTACCTGTGTCATAAGAGAAAACACCGGCAGAAGTATTAACATAGATGGCTCCAAAACTATATAAATAGAAAACCAATAACTGTCCTCAGCGATGGAGCTCTGGTCACCTTAAAATATAAAAACACCTTTAAAACTATGAGTTATCGGTAACGCTAACAAACAGCATGGAACTAAGCAAGGATCTTGTCGAAAAATACTTGGATGATCATCAAGATTTTACAAAGAGCTACTTCGAGCGGAAAGCTACGTCCTCAATGGTAGACAACTGGATGAGCAGTAGATCACACCGGCCTGGATCTCGAGCCATGGAGGTCAACCATGTCAAAAGAGACAGCGTCAGGTCCCACGTTATGCTTAAAAAGGACAATAATTTTACCAATGGCAGGCTGAATTCCATATTCGGTTCAGAGCGCGATGAGAGGAAAATGTCTGTTCCGCGGCGACGACGAAAATCAAAACTCGGAGAGTTGGACGAGAAAGAATTGTTCATGGAATTAATCAGAGACATCGCCAACGAATTGGACATAAATATGCTGAGCCACAAAATACTTGTCAACGTCAGTATATTGACAAATGCTGATCGCTGCTCGCTTTTTCTCGTGCGAGGCTCAAGGGACAATAAAGTTTTGGTATCTAAGCTCTTCGATGTGACTTCCGAATCCACAGTTGACCAAGCTATAAGGTCAGAGGAGGACGAAATTTGTGTACCTTTAGGGGTTGGTATTGCAGGGCATGCAGCTGCGACAGGCGAATCTATCAACATCAAAGACGCATATTCGGTAGGTATAAGAAATATATTTAAATCCCATCGTCGAATAAAAAGATGATGGTTTTTACAAAGTA